AGTTATAAAGCTGATTAGCAACATGTAAAATCATTTGTTGCTATTTAACTATGCATGTCATTAGTGTTTCTTTCTGTGAGACCTATAGAAGTAATTATCAATTTTAGATTTTCTAGATTCTTTCACATCGTAAACTTTTATTTAAAGCTAGTGATTTATTGCTTACATATCTTTATGGCTTTTGAACTTCAGATTGCTTTCTTTCATAAGAATCTCTTAAATGCTAGAAGATATACTTAAATTGTATGTTGGAAGGAATTTTAGCTTAAAAAATAAAAAAAAATTGCCTCTGAAAGCAAGACACCCAGATATGGTCTTGCATTGCCATGTCTGTGGTATGTCATCTGAAAATACAGGAGCTGTTTGTTGTCAGGAATTTTTCCTTCCTTAAAGGAACTACTTCAAATTTTTTTTAAATGCCGTTTGGTTTTTTTTCATTTCAGTAATGAGCTTCAACTGAAAGAGGAACTTAGAAAATGGAAAGAAAGAGCACTAAAATGGAAAGAACGATTGTCAAGAGAAACCACTCGAGAGACAGTACCCCTTGGTACTCCAAGGAAGACAGTGTCATATTCCCTTAAAGAGCAAATGCCTTCACCCTCCAAGGAACCTATTTCTCAAGAAATTGTGACTCAGGACGTAGCAAAGCCTCTGCCACTGACTTGTCCAACAAATTTCTTTGATAATTCCAGCTTGGGTACACTAACAGGTACGTAACATGGTGGTGTTGTCCTGTAAAGATTTGGAGAGGCAAAATATAAGGGGTGGTCTGTGAGCTGAGCGTAAATGCTCTGTACTTCCTATATTCACACCTGAAACTTGCATGATAACACAGTTTTCCTGAATGGGGTTAATTAGCTGTCTGTTGAAGGGCTGACCAGCTAGAGCTGTGAAGCTTATATATGCTCTACAGAACCTAAATACTTAAATGAATCCTTCACCCCCTGAAGATTATACAAACTTTTTTCTTTTCCTGCAGTGGAAGTGTTGATGACTTTAAAAAGTGAATTAGCAGAATATCATTACTAGATAGCTGATGCCCTAAAATGTTTTGCTTTTTAACTTTACATTGGTTAAGCACAGACTTCTGGCAAAACTATTTAAAGTTAACTGCTGGTTAACTTTTTTCTAAACTTCTTAAAGATGATAGACTTTAGTCTTTGATGTTGAATCTGCTAGTCTGCCTGGCTCCAGCTGTAGTAGTAGCTGTTTTGATAACTTCTGTTCCTCAGCTCTACTCAGGATTTCTTATATCTGGCGTGGTGACTTCTGGGGAAGTCTCCTAGTGATCTATGCTAGCATATTAATGCTATTGCCCTCATCGTTACACTTGCTTCTAAAAACTTTCAGAAGGCCTCAGCAGACATGTTGAAGAGTTAACCAGTTTTCAAGGTATTAATGGCAGGCTTCCAGAAAGAATCTGACTCATTGCTGTTTCTGGTGATGGCCAACTTGGTAATAGTACAGACTTCCTCACAACGCAAAGCTCCTCAGAGGCAAGCTTTGATAGTTGTTTAAAACACTAGTCAAGATTAAATTGCTGTATTGCTACTGCCCGTCTAACTGGGGAAAGTTTAAGTGTTACTTCAATGTTCTTGTCTTCTGTATAGATACACGACCTGCGGGAATAGAGCCCACAGAAGAACATCTTAAGCACTGGTTTGGAACTTCAGATAAAGATAAAGCCCCTGATTGTACCACCCAATAAAGGTGCTCTGTTGTAAGCTGTCTTTGCAGTAGCTACAGCCAGAATCTGCATATATGAAAGACAATTGCTTATCAAAAGCAATCAGCCAAATTCCACAAATTGCGAGAAGAGCTCTGGTGGCATGCAAATCCCTTGCTGTCTTGGAGTTGCTACTTTTCACAACTGGAAAAGCTGGAATACAAGAACAAAGATGGAAAAGCAGTCATGTTGCCCACAACCTGCTGATCTGATGATGTTCTACTTTGGGGGTTTTTTTTGGATGGCAAAGAAAGAAAAGCCAATGTATTGAAGAAAAGAAGGGAAACAGGAATGGATCACAAACTAATCTACTGTGAAACTTCTCAATCTTAAACTTAATTCTGTCATTCCTAAAACAGCCCTCTTCTGGGTGGTCAATATTTGTATCTTCAGAGTGCTATTGAGTTGGAAAGAACTATGCTTTTTGTTTCTCAGCATATGGTTTTATGCCATGCTCTCTCCAAGTCCACAGAAACTGCATTTTCACCACATTTTAACTTCTCTATCTGGACATTGCAACTGAAGTTACTAACTTTCTGTTTATAGGGCACACAATCAAGGGTTCCTCTTAAACTCCTTACGATATTTCTGCAGCTCAGCCAATTATGGTACCAAGAGTAACTTTGTATTTTGGATCATCTTTCCAATATACTTCTAGTTCCTGTCTGAAGTTGGGTATTGGAATTTTTTTAATAGTAAGCGGTGGACCTGACACTCTTCTGCTGCTCTAGTGAATGGAAAACAAACTGGGTGATCAGGGCTGCAAGATGGACTATTTTACTAGCCTGCATTGCGAGACCTACTTTTTTGTATTTTTTTGTATAAGAAGGTTTGTTTTGACAATAAACTTTAATGTGTTAAGTATTTAAAAATATTTTTGCTGGTCACTTCACTTGTGCTATGATCTAAGGATGTTGATTACAATATTCAGTATCTAAAGACTATCTTTATAGTAATCTCACTACTTCCATCATTATTATGCTTCTTGTCTGTGTCGTCTATAGCTTTCTGCAATAATTACTTTGTGCAGAAGTTTACTGTTGCACAGGTCTATATCACCAGTGTTTCGTTTAATTTTCTTTCTAACTGAATCCTTCACTGTCAGGAAATGTTTGAAGTCTAAAAGATAGATCCTCCTCCCTTTCCTCCCCATACACCCTCCACTGCCAACTAAGTAGGAATTTGGCACTCAACCCAAGATCAACTCCTTTAAGAATGAAACCATCATCATGAGGTGAGAAAGTCATAACTAAGAAAGATATCTGCATCAAAAGCATTATCCTTATTTTATAGGAATAAAGTTCTTGATACTCCATTTTGGGTTACCCAAACTGATAAGCAAATGGTTACATTGACATGTTCCTGGGCATTTGGCAGTTACTGGAATTAGAAAAGTCGCACAAGGATTATTTACCTGATGGAGGTACTTCAGAGATCTTTAATAAAGAACCAGCTATCTATTTACCTTGAATAGCTGAAAACTCTGCCAACTACTGTAACTACTAAGAAATCACAAGCATTTATCTCTAAATCTCTGACCTGGAATGTATTTTGGGAAGCTTTTAAAGATATTGCTAGCCAAAAATACACAGGTTCTAAATACCATTTCTGAGTTCAGCACTGCAGTGTCTCCTTTCCTACCACAGCAGTAGGTATGTAGGAGCAATTTACTTCCTGACAGTGATAAGTGCAAAGTGCTGGTATTTGTGTGGTGGGTGTTTTGTTTTGGGGTAGGTTGGTTGGTTGGGGTTTTTTTTGCTTTGGTTTGTTTGTTTTTTCAATTTCCCACTATGCTTGAAAGATATTTTCTTTAGCTACCAGCTTTTTTTTCAGTCCCTCCATTTTGTTGTTCTAATAAATTAAACTGACTTTTTTTCCTTCCAGAAGGGGGAGAACTAGGTGTATATATATAGATCTCTACCTCTTTTGTATAAATTTCAAGGGGGTGTTTTGTTAATTATTGCTTGCTTGGAACACTTCTAGATATGGAGATTTTTCTGGTGACTGAGCTGAAAAACAGGAACCTATTTTGCCTCTAAATTCAGTAGGCAAAAGGTCAGGGACAGAAGGATAAATGCTTTTAGAAAACCTAGTCATTAAAGATATTTTTTTTTTTACTGGGGAGCTGATTCACAAAGCCTTAGAAAGCTATCATAGTTTAGCAGAAAGACAAGAGAAACTTAATATTACTGAACTTTGTGTCTGTGTGTCCCGGTTTACCCACAGAAATGGCTTTTCTGAAGAAAATGTGCCTGTTGTGGTTTAACCTCAGCTGGCAACTGAGCACCACACAGCTGCTCGCTCACTCTCCCCCAGTGGAATGGGGGAGAGAATTGGAAGAGTAAAAGTGAGAAAACTCAGGGGTTGAGATAAGAACAGTTTAATAATTGAAATAAAGTAAAATAGTAATAATAAAAGAATACACAAAGCAAGTGATGCACAATGCCATTGCTCACCACCTGCTGACCGATTCCCAGCCAGTCCCTGAGCAGCGGCCCCCCTGGCCAGCTTTCCCCCAGTTTATGTACTGGGCATGACGTCCCATGGTATGGAATGTCCCTCTGGCCAGTTTGGGTCAGCTGTCCTGGCTGTGCCCCCCCCCAGCTTCTTGCGCACCTCCAGCCTTCTCAGTCGGTAGAGCACTTTTCCAGAGTTGGAAAAGTCCTTGACTAGCGTAAGCACTGCTTAGCAACAACAAAAACATCGGTGTGTTATCAATGTTATTCTCAACCTAAATCCAAAACCCAGCACTGTACCAGCTGGGTTTGCTAGGAAGAAAATTAACTGTATCCCAGCTGAAACCAGGACAGTGCCAACTGAAATTCAGGCAGGATTCCAAATTCTTTAAGAATGCTCTCAGGGTAGCTTTATTAACTCTGCCTTAACAAATGTAAGTTAAACCACTAGATACAAAAAGAAAAGTTGGTAAATCACTAGTTTAACAAAAAGAACAAAATTTATCATGCATGTATTGTCCTAGTTTGGAATTCGATAGCTTATATTGCTAAAGAGAAACTGCTTGGGAAAAACATGTTTGTGGCCTTGTTTGGTGGGAATCCTGTTGATTTCCTTAGGGTGAATGGACAGCAATGCTGGTGGTCCTTTTTTTTTTTTTTTTTGTCCTTTCCTGTGCAGAAAATCACACTTTTAAAATCTTGAGTTTCACTAGATGGCAGCATCTCAATGTTTCAACAGGAAATTACGTTCATCTAGAGAAATTTACCAATTAGACTACAAATCCCAAAAAGCACAGCAAAAAAAAAAGTATAAAACTTCCTTTTGTACAAAGGTCAGTAAACATAACAAGCTGTTTGAGATCTCTTGGTGAGTGACTATATTAATACTTATTTTTAAATGCTTTACACAATCGGTGTGGCAAATGTTCACAAAAACTGAATGTTAGATTGAAAAATGTATTTATAGTGCATTTTGCTTCCACAGTGTTAAGGTGATTTGGGGAAGTACTTGAACTGATCATTTTTTGTTTCCCGCTGAAAAGGTGTATACGACAACAAAGAACAAGAAAGAGCTTCCTCTGCCTTGAGTGAGCACTTTGAGCTCATTGTTGAGATGCTCGGGACTTGCTACAACTAATAGAACCTTTCCCAGAGTTTTGTGTTTGAGGAGTTGCGTTTTGGAACGCTTGGTACACTAGAGAGACAGCGCAACCTAGTTGTGTGTGTAATCTCATTCTGCTCTGTTAACTTTGTATTTTTCACCCGTCAATGCAAAAAGGTTATGCTAAGGCGGGCCCGATCTCATATAACCTTATACAGCCTACCATCAGAGGTATCTGAAGAGACGTCTTTTTACTAGCCAACCTAAAAAGTGATTTTTAAGGTATTGTGCTTTCCCCTAATGAGGAAGGTGCATCTCAGTTAGTGTTTGCTTAGGAGACTGTTCTTTAGTTTTGTGCTTTGTTCCTGTGTGCGTGTGTGTCCCAGTTAAGGGGGGGAACCTCCAGCAAAACATTTCAATGTCTTGAAACATGGTCTGTAACTCAGTCCAACTTTAAATCAAAAGAGATCATGTTTTTCATATTGGAACAGAGTTTTTCAGTTAAACAGATTCAGAAGAAGTCTGATTTGTTGAATCTGTAACCTTCAGGGAAACACTAGTTTTGCTGCAACTTTTGTCAGGAAAAGCTGCTGAGAAAACAGAATTTCTGGTCAAAATCAGAGAAATGAATAATCTGGTGTAAGACGTAGGACACTAAATTCAACTCATTCAACATGAGTCACAGCATGGATTGAAGCATCTCTAGATGATAGCATTGGCTGCTAACCTGGAGGAGATTATGGCATCTTTATCTTAACTTCTCAGCAAAGGACTCGGTATGTTGGATTCCTGTATATATTCAAAGACTTCAAGTTCTTGGGACACCTTTCTACACTCATAGCTACATAAACAAATTTTGCTCTGTGGATTATAAAAGTGCAGAAGTTTTGCTTATTGGGAACCCAGTTAACAAACCAGATATCGCACTCTGACTGGAACACAGTGGCCTTACTTTTTAGGTAGTTCTTTGAAACATCCTATTAAGTAGTTTATTCCTTAAATAACCAAAAATCCTACTGGAACCTTTTGAATCCATAGGAGTGAGAGGATGGCATTTGCTTTTACTTGTTTGTCTGCAACTTTACATGCTGTATTTCTTTAAACATAATGCAGCATTTGAAAGTGTGTGCTTGGGCAGAAGAGAAGAGGGCTACATTTTGCCTTTTGGCTCCTACACATTGAATAAGGTGGAACCTCCCGCTTGCCCCAAGCATGCTCAGTAGTTCCCTGAGAGCAAGCAATGTGAGAAAGGCGAGACAGGACCTTCATTCCCCCCTCACCCTCCTGCCTTGTTGGAGCTGGGAATCTGCTGTGCTGGAAGATTCCTAAGACAATTCAGAGCAGACACCTAGGCCAGGGTTTTGTGTGGAATTTATTGCAATCTAGGAAGTTGATGAGTTTGTAGTTTGAGGGCAATAGAAGATAGACCTGCTTTCTAAGAACACAATGGACAGTGGAAATGCTAGATTACAAACTATTGTACTTCTGTTTCATCTTGACTCTCTCTTTTCTGTTTAAGGAAAAATAAAGTCTGGTTTCTGTTATAATATAACAGGAAGCTTGGCTTTTGAGCTCAAATGCCTTTTGATCTTTTTGAGGTCCTTACTTATGGGGGTGGGGGGGGAGGTTGAGGCAGTCCCCCCCTCAGCCTGGTTGATTCACTGCAGCCAAACGGGACAATCTGTGATATGATTTGATGGCAGAGGTACTCTGAATCACATCTAGCTTTTGGAATGCATTTGCATCTGATTCCCAGTGAGTGTTGTTGGCTCATCTTTTTGCTAAAGATTCCGTGACATCTTCTGTCTGCGCAGGTCAGCAGTATGGGTCGGCTTGATGGGAAGACAATACTGCTGTCTGCAGCAGCACAGGGGCTTGGACGAGCAGCTGCTATACTAAGTTGGAAAATGTTCTCCTGTACCTAAGCTAGGTCTCTAATGCTAGCTTGTCCAATGACAGCTGCACCAAACAAGTTCTTGAATTAATAAACCCTTGATGAAGTCAGAACTACCCATTGAAAAATTCAGGGAATAATATAGTAGCTATACTGTATCATGCATGCTTTGCACCGTTTGAATTTCTGAAAGTCTTCAGCTCTGAGGGGTGATGTTAGCCATAAGGGAAGACTTGAGAACAGCTGCAACTGCTTTTCTAACAATATATGGTTGTACTGCCTGTACCTTTAATCCAGTATATCTGCTGCTTTGTTCTGGGAGAAGATAAGGAGGATAGAGGGAATATTTCCTGTTATAAGGCTGGATACTGCAAAGATCCCCTGCAGCAAAGCTAAGATGTTTTATCTACACTAATAGTTGATGTAACCAAGTCTACATGATACTAACAGCATGGCTACAACATTGTTCACAAAGAGCAACTGTGAGAAATCCTTTACAAATTTTATTAAATTACTGTTAAACAGAATTCAACATATGTGTTAACTTTTAATTCCTTCCGACCTGTTCTTCCCCTGCTACTTCCTTCTTCCATAGCAGATAGAGAACCTAGTAGAGTTGTCTCAGTACCTCTGTAATGTAATCAACAAGCCAGGAAAAGCTCCTCTAAGTAGGATTTTTGCCAGACTAGTTAGTTTCTCATGTATGCAGTTAAGAATGCAGAAAACTGCTGATCTTGGCACTTACATTAAAATACTCCGTCAAAGTAGTAGGTAATTTTCCTGATGATTTCACTCTGTAAATACCCAACAAGCCACGGAAGGCTGGCATGTTTAATGCCACTATCCTCTTAAGCTGCACTTGAGACACTTATTTTGAAGATTAGGGGCTACAGTCTGCGATGTCAGAATACTTTTGACACAGAGGTTACTTTGTTAGCGTAGCTGTTGATTTATCAGTAATCACAATGCAGAGAAAGCAGGTTTTGAGGGGAGCATGAAGAATAAAGGAATATTTCTGCTTAAGTATCAAAGAAAAGTCATGCTGCTTTTAATATTGCTGTATTCCAGTGATTCGGATGCAAAGGATTTTCATAAAGTTTATATACCACCATTCCTTTTTTTTGACTCATGCCTTTACTTGTCAAATCCCCTAACTTCATTTAAATCCAACAATACAGACAATTCTAGCCCTACATGTTTGTAACGCGCTTGCTAGTGTACATGCAGCTAATAAGGGCGATAATAATACCAGTTGTCTTAGTGTGGTTACTGTTCTCACACTTTATTTATGGATTCCTTACTTTAAGGAAAACATCTTAAATCTATTTTATATCATGCATAGTTACTTAGTTGTCCCCAGGATGTGTGGCAATTGATGTCCATTACTTTCTGACATGCCCAGAATGAAAAGTGAGAGATCAGCTGCCTTCAGCCAACTTTTATTTCAAGCCAAAAAGGAAATGAGAAGAAAACAGATTTTATTTCTGGTAAGATCTGGAATATCTAAATATAAACTGCTTCTCTCACTTGTATTCTTCAGGCTTTTGCTAAAGAAGGAGCCAAAGTCGTTGCTACAGACATCAATGAGTCTAAGCTGCAAGAACTGGAGAAATATCCAGGTAAATGACCTACAGTAGGCATTAGTTCATCTCTCGCAAGTTTTGTTGTAGACTGGCTGAAATATAATTTGAGGATAGGGCAAAATTCAAAAGGCCAGAAAAAATGGAAAATATCCAGACTAATTCTTTAGACGTTGGCATTGCTTTATTCTGTGGTGTGGAATGGCAGAGATTTAGCGTGTAAAATACTGCAACATCAGCATATCAGACAGAGTATTATTCCAGGCACGTGGAATAACTTTGGGTTTCTTGTGTCACAGAAGCAGTTGATTTCTGCTTCCCAGAATGGCACCCATTTCAATTACCTTTTGAGATCGCTAGGCTAATTGTCAAACATATCACTCTAAAAGGCATGGAATGCTTTTCTCTGATCGCAAGAACTGACATCTAGCTATACAAAAAGTAGGTTTAATGTCTTGCATTTCCATGGTCCATACTTACTAAGGAATGCAGTGACAGGATAGCTGTCTAGTAGAATTCGTATGTCTTCAGAAACTAATTCCACCAACACTACATAAGCCTATTCTGTTTGTACAAATGCTCAAGCCTGAAGGTTGCTTTCCTACTGATATCACAGGAACATACTTCAAGAAGCAGGTTTTGCATAGCTGTGTTTCTTAATCGTAAGTGACACAAGTGTGGGACACAATATTAAAAAAAAAATAATTTTATTTCAAGATTGAAAAAATTACTTGGATATATTTCACAACTGAAAATGCTTCCAACTTAATTTGACAGAAGGAAGTGGATTTACTGAATTCCTATTACAGAGTGACAGTTAAATATGCAAAAACACTTTTCTCTGGCACAACTTTTAGAGTGAACATCGGTCTCTACTGACTGGAGTTCACCACAAGCAATCCCTTTGTAATTCTTTAGGAACTTTAGGACTTTCTAGGTTCATTCTGAGGGTGTGTAGGAAAGTGTTACGTTTTGAACTGTGCATTTTTTTCCCTCTGCTAGTGTGTTCACAAGGAAAGAGGTAATTTTCCATACACTCAGAGCCATTTCCATCCTTTTGACATATGATTAGTTAAGCTATAATTCATCAAGACTTGGCACATTGTGATCTTTGAATTTTATCCAGGAGAGGTAATTCCAGTGCTGATGTTAATCACAAGTCTGTAGTCTAATTGCATCGTTATACACAAATCTCTTCAGAAGTGTCTATAACATTTAACTAAGGTATATAAAGCCTGTTCATGGACTTGTCAGTTTGGCTTCAAAAGAAACAGGTTTTTATCCATTTCAGATCAAATTCTCCCATAATTTAGACATCACTCAGATGTGTTACAGCCAGCTTTACAGTATTTCATAGAATTGTGTACATTGGATGAGACCTCTGGAGGCCATTTGGTCCTGCCTACTGCTCAAAGTGGCTCTGGCTAGAGCAGGTTGCTCAGGGCTGTGTTGAATTAAGTTCTGAACATCTCCAAGGATGGAATTTCCTCAACGACCTCTGTAGGTCCCTGTTCCAGTGTGACTGCCCTCATGGTTTTAAAATAATAATGATATTTTAAAAACAAACAAAAAACAAACCCCAAAACATCAAAAAACCCCCACCAAAAATGATAAAAAACGAACACACCTTATATTCAGTCAGACTTTCCCATGTTCCAACTTCTTTCTGTTGCCTTTCGTCTTTCCACTGTGGGCCTCTGAGAAGTCTGGCTCCATCTTCTCTACAGTCTCTCAATAGGTAGCTGTAGGCATTTATTAGATGGTGTGTCACTAGTAGCACATGACTAAATGGTAAAAAAAAACCTGTTTTGGGGCACAGGTGTGTTCTGCACTAGATGTGCCTTCATCCTAGACACAGGATATGCCATGACCGGGCCGTGGCAAAAGGGTCAGCAGCAGCAAGTCTTAGTGCCCTGGGAGCCTAACTGTACCCACTAAAGGAACTACTGGAGTACACCCTGACTCCTTCTTTTCCACTCATCCGGGTTTCCTTTGGATGAAAAATTCATGTATTTGAGAAGGGGACACAGCTCAGTCTTTACGCACAGTATGGAGTGAAGGTGCAGGCAAAGCGTATCGTGAAGTATGCCTGTTCCATAGTAAGGATTCAGCCTTGACATGGGTGAGAGAAGCTAGTTGTGTTAGATTACTGGAAGCTACTTAAGTAAAATGAGATAAAATAACGTGTAGATTATATCATATCATATATTACAGCTCATCTGGAAGAGTAGCTCTTTTAGTTTGCTCTTTTCACTTCTGGCCAGGGGATGGCACGGCTGTGGTTGGCCCTTAAGCAGTTCTGTTACAGGGGCTGATTTTATTGAAAAGTGTTTGGAAGAGTGGAGCCTGACCCTGTTTTGCAGAAATTATGTTTCTCAATCTTTCAGAGGTAACTTCTCTGAACAAAATAGAAGGTGGTTTTTTGGAGGGGTTGTTTTGGTTGGGTTTTTTTTTTTTATCAGCGTCTTTCTTGAAGGTATGGCACAGGCACAGCCCATGCTATAAGCGCTGACAGTGACAGCTGTCAGAGGCTGAAATACATAGAAGCTTATAGTGAAAAGCAACATGTTTCCAGACCTCTTTTATTTGATTATAAATGATTATAAACAAATAATTGCAAAAATATAAGCATCATATTTTTAAACTAGCCTCCATGATAGAAGCCATCAATTTATTACACTTCCTCTTCATTTCTATTATCATGGCTATGATATCATTCCAGGTTATGTAAGTTATTGGCTTATGCAAAATCACTTTTTCTCATTAATTAAATGGTATAAAGCTGATTCATCATATCCTCAACTACACATGGATAGATGAGTATATGTGACACACTTAACTAGTTTCAGGTAATTATTATTCTATAACAGTGGGCATGAAAGCTTGTTATGACTATACAGGCTCTGTAATTTTTCAGTTTGAGAGCACAGTGGAATTCAAATTTATTGGAAATGTTTTTATGGTAAATGACATTGGCTCATCTGCTTGTGTGATGCTGTATGACAATCAAATGAGTTGATCTTTTTTTAATTCCCTTCTGATATTTTAAATAGCATGCCATGCTGTCCATCGCTGTCCTGATTTAACTATTGCACTAATTTAATAATTAATGGTAGCTCTCGCTCAGTGAGTCTCCATGTGGTGGTGGACCGCTGAGAGGGGACTGTTCCTGGCAAGCCACTGACTTGAATCGTAAATGCAGTCCTCGGCACTTCAGAAAAATAAACTGCTGATCCTTAGCCAAATACGCTGAAGTTAATACCATGTTTTTCTAGGCATTCAAATACGGGTTCTGGATGTCACCAAAAAGGAGCAGATAGAAAATCTGGCCAAGGAGATTGAAAGGATTGACGTCCTCTGTAACATTGCAGGGTAACCAGCTTCTATTTGATCCTACTTCTTTTTCCAGTTTTCCCCGTCCTCCAGAAGTAGTTTCTTTTACTTAAATTCATTTTATTTCTCTTGTTTTAATGCATTTTATATCTTTAATATAAATTTTCATGTGTTTTCATTAACAGTGAACTTTCTGTGCGTAGTTCTGTTACCCAGGCCAAGATAGAATGGTTCTGGAATTTATGTTCTTCCTGCTCTATGGGTGCCCTATACTGATGGCTTTGGCCCTCATGGCACAACAGTGAGCAAAATTGATGGTCTGCCAGTGCACTATCTTTTTTAGTTTCCCTATTACCAAACATTTCTTTGCACATATCGGATCCATCTTGTGTCCCTGGTACTCATCAGAAGACAAGTACTGTTGCTTGCTTTCTTCAAAAGAGCTCTTGTCCCTCCTTTTCAAGGTTGGAAGGACTAGCTATTACAAAATAGCAATGGAAAAATATGCATAAAAAGTCATAGAAATATAAAACACGGGCAGTAATCCACTTCATGTGCTTATTCTAGGTTTGTTCATCATGGAACCATTCTGGAGTGTGAGGAGCAAGACTGGAACTTCACTATGAACCTCAATGTTCGCAGCATGTATCTAATGATCAAGACATTCCTTCCTAAGGTAAGGCTTGGTTGCCCATGATTTTTAGTCTCTGCTGCGTTGTGTTTAAAATGTGAGAGGTCTTAAGTTGTTGCCACTGTGACAGCGTGGGGTTTGAGATAAAAAGGCAAGTATGCCACTTTGTACAGGGGCGGCCCCTAGATTACAGCGATCCTACTCTAAAACAGTCTCTGCAACGTGCAATCCTTCAAGTAGACAATCCATCTGAAGGATATGGTAGAGAAGACTAATTCAGGGGTTTTGCCCTATGTAGTTTGTAACTAAAATCCTTCAAACGCAGAGCAGTGAGGGAGCCATTGCAATACAGTGCTACCATATTATACTATAGCACACAGCTGCACAATACCACTGCTACAAAATATTTATAAAATATGTATATTAATATGAATTTTATGCAAATCTGGAAACGATCTTGTGAAGCAATTCAGTGCCACTGATGCCAACATGCTGGTTGTATCAGAACAACAATCCAATTAGACAGTCTAGCAGCTTGAGGACACTTGTGTTTGACGTAGTAACTAGGTTCAGGACTACAAAAATTTGTGGACTGAAAAAGGTGTTTGTATTCCTGTAAATGCAAAGGCCAGAAGTGGAAGCTGTGACCACGACTGGATGATGACTGCTCTTTTCACTATTGTTCCAGTCTTTTTTGTTTTTTGGGTTTGGTTTTTTTTTTTTTTCTTAGGTGATCTTCATTTTCAAATGTTCTTTATAACAGCTTCAGGCATCTCAGGTTTTGAGATGCCTAAAAGGTTATAACTTAAATTTAGCTACAATTCAAAGATGCTAGTGTTGTGTTTTAGTCTTCTCCAAAGCAACGGAGAAGTGAATTAGTGCATTGGTAGATGGCATGAGCAGATGTCTGTGTAGGGTAACGTACTGTAGTGACAAGAGGACAATGATTCAGAGGGGGCTATCTAGGAAAAAAAATCCTTTCCTGTCATAGTCTTCACCCCTGAGATGACTTAGGAGAACCTAGTGAGATTTTCAGATTCTGCTTTACTACTTCAGTCAATTAGATCAAAAAGAGATAAGCACCTATTCATGCCAATTAAGCTTTGTTACCCTGAGTACCAATGGAATGTAGGGCTGTTCCACAGGTTGTTATGAGCTATTTTGCTGGACCTGCAGGTGGCAAAATAGTTTGCATTTGAATGACATAAGTATTCTTTTGCAGATGCTTAAACAAAAATCTGGAAATATTATAAATATGTCTTCTGTGGCATCCAGCGTTAAAGGTCAGTAGCTTGCTAGAGTTCCTTATATAATCTTTAAAATGGCGGGAATGCAAAATAAATATTGCACGACTTTGAATTTAGAGGACGTTGCCAATCCTGTGGAGAGATGCAATTAAAAAAAAAAGTTAATATATCAACTTGTACATATGTGTAAGGACACAGATGGGAAATTGCAGAAACATTAAGATCCTTGCCTTTGAGCTTTTAAATCTGTGTCCTGAATGTTTTGTAGCATCCTTTTTACCAGTTTGTATTAACTAAAAAGGAATTACTTCCAGTGATATCTTACCACATATGTCCTTCAGAGAAACAATGAAGAAATGGCAGTTACGTAAGCGCTATAGCTATGCTTCCCAAGGAAACCTGATGGTGACTAACAGATGGGTCTCTGCTGTTCCTAAATCTTTGTTTGCTTTGGTAACTATTCTAGACTACTCCCCAAACTGATACTATTGAAAGATCGTGTGCTTTGCTGTGGTGTATGCCTGAGTAGAATTCTGGCAGTCAGCGTTCTAGTTAGCCCGCCCTTATGGAGAGACTACGCGTGCTACAGGAAATGCTGGAGTCCAGAAGCAGGTGCATATTGAACAAACTTGGGTCTCTTTTTTTTTTTTTTTCTTAAACATGTTTCTATGCTGCCTTCACACTGAACTTCTGTTAGGAGTTGTGAACAGATGTGTATACAGTACTTCAAAGGCAGCAGTTATTGGTCTAACAAAGTCTGTGGCTGCTGATTTCATTGAACAAGGCATCAGATGCAACTGCATATGTCCTGGTAAGTATTCTTACATTATTTTGTAAACTAGGAGCGGGTGCTAGAAGGCCCGATTTAGTCTGACATTGTTAACAAAGAATAGACTTGCAAGTAGCAACTAAAGTTACCAGCAATCAAAAAGAATGGGACATGCTTGAAATGCTTCTGAGAATTAAAATAGAAAAGTTGTTACTTTTATAGTATGTTTAGTCTGTTAACCCAACACATGCATGTTATATTCATTACATAGTGTTTGGATGTTTATTTTCAAAGACATAGTCTGGAAGTTAGAAGCAGACAAGGGCTAGCTAACAGGCTAGCCATTGTTTAACCATCTGAAAAGTATTGAGTCTGATTCTCAAGGCTTGCCTTTTACTGAAGTTTAGAGTCCTATGCTATGTTGATAGTTTTGCAGTCTTTCTCTTTGTCATGGTTTAACCCCAGTGGGCAACTAAGCACCACACAGCTCCTCACTCACTCCTTACCGGTGGGATGGGGGGGGAGAATTGGAAGGGTAAATGTGAGAGAACTCGTGGGTTGAGATAAAGACAGTTTAATAGGCAAAGCAAAAGCTGCACACGCAAGCAAAGCAAAACAAGGAATCCATTCACTCCTTCCCATCGGCCGGCAGGTGTTCAGCCATCTCCAGGAAAGCAGGGCTCCATCATGCATAACGGTGACTTGGGAAGACAAAATGCCATCACTCCGAACATCCCCCCTTCCTTCTTCTTCCCCCAGCTTTATAAGCTGAGCATGACGTCATATGGTATGGAATATCCCTTTGGTCAGTTGGGGTCAGCTGTCCCAGCTGTGTCCCCTCCCAACTTCTTGTGCACCCCCAGCCTGCTCGCTGGTGGGGTGGGGTGAGGAGCAGAAAAGGCCTTGACTCTGTGTAAGCACTGCTCAGCAGTAACGAAAACATCCCTGTGTTATCAACACCGTTTCCAGCACAAATCCAAAACACGGCACCATACGAGCTACTATGGAAAACATTAACTCTACCCCAGCCAAAACCAGCACACTCCTGAATCATATTATGAAGTTACACTCAAGTGTTAAGACATAGAAATAGAACCAATGAACTGCATTTCTTTGTCATGACTGTTGATGCAGTTGTTTTTTAACATTGAATTTAAAATTTTGCTTAGGAACTGTTGACACACCATCTTTACAGGAAAGAATACAAGCCCAGCCGAACCCAGAACAGGTGAGAAAGTAATTTATTACTTTGATCATGTACATATATATATTTAACTCCCTTAAAAAAAAAAAAAGGCATTTCTGCCCAGATTCAAGAATGTCCCCTATTTCAGAATACCAACGATAACATATGTGTCTCCTTTCATAGTTTGGTCAGTTTGTACTCAAGACAGAAGTTTTAAAATGCCTCAGAAGGATACTATTGCTTAGTGACTACAGAGGGTCTGTCATCTATGGAAGTATTTGCAACCATTGGTTACAGTATCTAGTGCAAAAGTAGATGATGTTTTCTACTGTGGCATCTGGCAGCCACAAACTAGTGCAAAACTATGATAGAAAGGGCATTCTGGCCTTCTCATTTCAAAGTTATTTGGGCTTCTTAACCATACTGACTGGATAACTGTGAGCACTCATTTGAAGGCCCTGGGAATGTCTACCACCAAAGGAAGAAGGACTTATGTTGGCTTTATTCTGGAACCAGAGATTTAGATCCAGTCTCCTATTTTGCAACCTGAAATTCATACTACTGTTAATCTTCCAATTTCTTTTTCTAGCATAAATTCCCTACCCAGTGTACTAAAGGAAGTTGTGGCTTATGGCCTGTTTCCAGTATTGCTTTGTACATGTCAGACTAACCGGATTTAAATAATTGCTTTATTTTTTTAATATACCAAATGCTCTTATATACCTAGGCATTGAAAGACTTTCTAGCCAGACAGAAGACTGGTAGGATGGCTACTGCTGAAGAAGTAGCCCATCTCTTTGTGTACTTGGCCTCTGATGAAGTAAGTATAGAATGATAAAATTTCCTGTCACAGAATCCCATGCTACTTCGCTGCATCACAATAGAGGGAATTTGTTTTAGGAGGATTTATATTGTCTTTGAGCTAGATTATTACAAAAATAAAAAGCTGACAATCTTTTACTGAGTTCAACCTACAATACAAAAAGTACTCTGAATGTTGACGGTGATTGTTAAGGCGTTATGTATTTGGTACCATAGCCTGGTGGTTTCATGTCATGTGAGCAAATTGACTGACCCCAATTCACCCTGAATGATAGGAGAAATGGGCTTGTCTGCTTTTCCAAGTTTGCACTGCAGCTAGATTATGTTTCAAGGAGGTAGAATTAGTAGTCATCACCTACCTTCGCTATCTAAGAGCAAATATTTGTGTAGAACTGCTGGAGATTTTTAGCTAAAAGGGCTAATGCTCAGAGTAAATCTACCCTTTTGGCATAAGGAAAACAATAGACCCACTGAGGTTGTTATAGACCAAACTCTTAATGACCACTGCAAATACCACCAACACTAATGAGCACACATCAAGGTTATTTCAGATGCCATGAATTTACTATGAATCTAAAATTGGACTGGATTCCTCCGGACTTGTCCAGCAGTCCTACTGAGCATAACAGAATACTTTAATGGAATTAATTCAGTCTTAATGTCGCTATCTATCAGTAATCTGTTTCTCATTTTCATCTTAGTTTTAGTGTTTCTGTAAAGCTGATGATTTTTTTTTTTCCAGTCTGGTCACAGGGTTTTCAACCATGTGTAGGCAGAATTCTAGTTTTCCAATATATTCCAATATGCTTCAGTACTGGCATACAGAGAAGAATGTCAACAGCTCAGTTGCTTACCTCACTTTTCTGCACTATCTAAATTTTCAGTTAGGTCCCCTTATAATTATTAGCTGACCTGGTCAGATTCTGCTCAGCTGAACAGAGCTAATAACATCATAGTGTGAGGTATTATTCCTGCAGGTGAGAGATCTGAAGTCTAGCTTATGTGAATGTGTACACTCAGGATGCATTCTCATCTTAATGCCTCTAATAATACTTTTGCTACACTCCCCTGAGCTAGCTGAAAGGCTTCCATTTATAAGTTTGTTTATATTCTATTTATTCAGATATTTTTATAAAACAAAAATGGTGTTTGTATAAAAAGAAAGCAGTTTTTCGCATTTAAAGAAAAAATGTTTCCCTGTACTTAATAGCCATGAAAAGTTAGTTAAATTATTGTTACTTTTTATGTAATTTCAGTCTGCCTACATGACTGGTAATGAACTAATCATCGATGGAGGATGGAGCTTGTGATTGACCCTACCTGCAAATGGAAATTCATACTATGAAAGGCAAAAAGTGAGGATCAAGTTTCTCAGTTAAGATAGCTTGCGAAGATTTAGATCACTCACATGAGGTCTTTCAAAACAAATTTGGTGCATTTATACTGCTATATGATCTCTTTATAGATTGATCTTACTGATTCACTTTTTCCTAAATAGTGAAACACTGTAGTAAAACATACTTTGTGTGGCTTCATTTTGCCGTAACTCCAAAAACATGAAAGAATAACAATTTAACATTTAAGATTTCAGAAGGCAAAGAATATTATTTAAGGTATAAAATCTGAGTTGTGTTTTAAGCAAATCTGAGTGAAAGGAATTAAATACTACCTTTATTCTCATTCTGCAAAGTATTTGGAAGTTAAACATGCACATTAGATTTCCTACTAGGATTGGCAGACTAGCTAGAGAAAATGGAGCAACTACTATTAAATCAGCCAGTTGGATCCTGAACTAGGTGTGGTTTAAACAGAAGAAAGCAGAAATAACAGCAAATTTGAAGATTTGAATGTTTGAATCATTTTGTTACTGGTAATGGATGTTTCTATATTACAGAACATAGTAATTGCAAATTGTAATTGAAAGCACATTCTGCTTTGCAAACTACAAAGTAAGTTCTTTCTGCTCTGTACTATGATTAGCAAAATGTTTTAGAACTGTAATAGCTGTAGAAAAACAGTCTGAATTGTTGAGGAAAAAAGAAGTCCCAAGCCTAACAATACTTACAGATCCAAAGCGGGTGGTGGAAGACAGTCAAACACACTGTAGATACATGGTGTATGGGCACATGAAACTTCCTGCACACGTGGTAAAGAGTCAGTGTACCTGCACAGCTGGTTTGTGCAACTGCAATGTCCATTTTCCAGATCCCGGGCAAGTTAGGCTGGTAGAATCTGGCAAAAACAGTAGGTCATAGCACAAAAAGCAGGGCAACGGATTACCATTAGAAGCAGTAGGATTGGCCACTTTGTGGAGTTTGGGAGGTTTTTTTGTCTAAGCCCGTAACGATTATAGACACCATCTTCATGAAGCAGAAATGACGGAGAGGAGCCTGCTCTAACGGTTGTTAAGACTAAAGCTTAGTATGTAGAGAGCATAGAGAATCACATGTACTTTTACAATCAGTTAGAAAATGAGTACATTAACTAGTACAAAAGAGGTCCTGGTGTGAGAAATAGAGGCCAGAACTGTTTCATTAATGGTATAGATCACTCCTAAAATGGTCTCGGAAGTATCATTACTATAGCTCTTCCCCCCCCTTCCACATATAGAAAGTATTCTGCAAGGACATTGCTCTGGTATGCACGGATGGGGGGGTATATGTGGAAGAAGTATTATTAAATACACAGGTGGATCTTCATGAATACACTTGACTTCTGGCACATAAGCAAAAGGAGTGGATTTTACCACTCTAGATAGAGCCAATATATTCCTCTTCAAAAGGATGTACTCATATTGGACAAATACTGTAAAATCTGTATGCTAGGTGCTAGGCTTTGCTATTCTATTGCTTGATTCTCAAATACACTTCATACTAAAACACAAGGCTAAGTTTCTCTGAAAAGCACTGTTACCACAAGAGTTTGTGTTGATCTTTTTATTGTGATAGCACATGCTAGCTTTGATTTATGAATCAGAAACCTGATATCATAAAGTCTCACACTCTGGGGAAAAAAAAAAATAGATCCTGACCCAGAGATCTAAGGCAATGAGTAACCTGAATTCCAGAACTATTTGTTTTGCTAACATGCTGTTACATTTGACATGAATGACGTGGGCTGACTGCCTATAAATATGGTTACCTTAAAAAATTGCACATAGCTCCATTTATCTAGTTTGTGAATGAAGCTGTATGCGATTTCATATATATTCCTATATATTAAATACATATATATGTGGGGGGAGGAATTAAAGAATAAATGCCACTGAGTATGAGTGATCAGTAATCAGAAAGCACAGGGAAAACTACAATATTTTGTGTTTCTGTAACTGTCATGTTTTTAAAATTATTGCTTAAGCTTTTCAATATTAGCTGAAGCATTAATAGAAATTATTTGATTTCAAAAACAATGGAACGTGTCTAGTTAAAATCAGGCTTCTTATTGTAAAAAGTCTCATTTAAAATTGTAAGTAAATGTAAAAGTATTGTGGATGTTGGCTTCCTCAGGCTCACTATGGGTTTAACTCTTACCTTTAATCATGGGTGGAGCATTCTGATCTTGCGTAGTTGGTTTATGGGGTTTTGAGTATCTAGTGTTTCAGTAAAGTGACCCTGGCAGCCAAGCAGGATCAGGCTGAGGCAGAAATCCAAAGTTATCCAAAAGGGCTCCACCGATGTTCACTGACGTAAATTCAAATGTTAGAAGTTCAGGCTGGCAGGATACAGTTTCAATGCTTTCAGAGTTTAATATGAAGGCCACAGTCCTTCTCCTGTAGCAGGTGTAGACGGCTTAACCTTGAAAAGAGAATCTCCCCACTGCAGTAGCACGGGAAACTTGCACTGTGCATTATGAAAATATAATTAAGAATCTGAGAGAAAATTCATTATACATATCGCACTTTATTAGTTAACATTTCTAAGCTTGCTGGTAATTGTAATATACAGATACTACTCGAATGGGTTTGTTTGGGTTTTTTTTTGTCAAAGCACTCCTGCAAGAAAAGGAGATACCATCTGCTTTTTACATCGCACTAAAAGCACAGACTAGAGGACCAAGATTTAGGACCAAGACAGGAACAAAATCAAGAAAAAAAAAAAAAACCCAAACAAACAAAACAGTGGAGATTCCTCTCTCTTGCCTTATTAGCAATGCTTTTCATGGATGTGTTAACAGCCACAACTCTGAAACGTGTTACAATGTCTAGGGGTTTTCCAGCAGACTTGCTGGAATTATCAAAGGAGAATGCTTCTTAATGCTCTTGTGACCTCTTAATTCCCTGATCTGTTTTGATGGAACTGGGTAATTCTGTTTCTTTTCCTTCTACCCCGGCAATAATAGCAAGAGGAGTTTTTTGACTTTTCAGATTCTAGGTCAAACTTTTCTCTCGTGCGGGAGGGGGAAAGAGACTTCCCTGATTCAGAGTCCTGGAAAATTTAATCTTACCAACACCAGTGCTTTTTTCCCCTCAGCTTAATTCTGAGTACTGCTACTAGAAACAAAGCAGCAACACGTGGCATTTGAGTCTGCTCTCACAGGCCCCCCGTGCAGCTTGCAAAGCGAGGTTGCGGGAGGTGGTCTGTCTCGTTCCCTCCTGCGCGCTTACAGGCGAGGTGGACGCTCTTGATTCTTCTTGAAGAAGTAGAAATGTCTTGGTGAGAACACCACCAATATGCAAATTTTTTTAAATTCTCCTGCCTGCCCTAATGCAATTCTTCTGCATGCATCCAGAGCAGAATCATCCAGAGATCCTTCCCCTCTCTTTGCACCTGACCTCCACCTGCGGCCTGAGGACTGTGCCTAGCTGCCCCACGTCCCTTCCCACAGCCACGGGAAGGGCAGCGTGGCAAGCAACCTTTTTAATGGGTACGGGTTACAACGAAACGGCGTGGGAAGCGGAGGGCTGGCTGTGTGAGACGCACAAACCTGCTCCCTTCTCGCCTCTCGTCCTCCTGGATGCCGCGGGCTCAGGGCTGCTCCATTGCTCAAACCACAGGATTTGGAGGAATAGCTGGGGGAGCGTGAAGACGACCTGAGGATAGGCAAGAACCATAAAAGAGTTAAAGACACTGGAAGGTGAGGCTGTACCAAATTCCTCCGAATCTGGGCTCATGGGGAGAGCCCATAGAGAGATGCCCCATACTTCAGGGTCTCGGCTCAGCTCTGTGTGGCCAGTTCACCCCAAGCCATGTGGATCCCTAGGCACCCCTCAAACTCTTACACCTCCCCCTGCAAGGAGCCTGCCAGCCTGCAAGAATTAGACATTGCCCAGGGTCACAGAGACAGCTGTTTTAGCTGGCCTTACCTCTTTCCTGAAGAGCAGGACTTGCTTCGGGAGTACCTGGGAGAGGCCTTGTGGTGTGAGGAGCTGGAGGCGGCAGGGGCGGTAACATGGGGGACTGTTAGCTGGCTTTGCCGGCAGGAAGCTGCTGGGGGGGCGGGGGAGGAGGTTGCATCAGGGTTTACTGACGTCTTTTTGTAGATGATGATGCGTGGTTTGGGTTGTCTTTTTTTTTTTTCCCCCCTTTTTTTTACATTCTGAATGTTAGTTGCTCTGGCGGGGGTTGTGGAATTTGTATTCCTTTCCGTACTGTGCGCACAACGCAGAACGCTGACAGTCACCAGGGCAATAGAGCTAATAATAGTCACGCACATGCTGGCCCTGTCAGTCGCCTCCTCAGGTCGGCTCTCCTTCTCTTTCCTCCTCCCTACCAATTAACATCAAGTCAAGTGAGAGGATCTAATAAAAACCTCTCTTGTTTCAAAATAAGGAAAGCGTATTTTGCAGGGAGGTACTGAAATAAGTCTGTTACTGGCTGGTTTCCATGGTACAGGCCTTAACCCTGTGGTATGAATTCTGCTCTGTGATTTCTCAATCGCTGATTTTGTTTGTGTAAGGGGTGAAGTTTAAAAAACGAAACAAGCCCACAAAAAACATGAACCCAAAAAACCCCACCCTGGTGTGAGTAAACTAACTACTCATTTTGGTCTCATTAATCCAACTGGCTACTTTTGCTCAAAAGTAGCAGTATCAAGAACCTGACAGCGTGAAGGCCTGTCACGAAACCGATAAGGACAGCACTGTCAGACTCCTCGTTCACGCCTTGAGACAATTCCTGCTTAATCAATCTTTTCTGTACGCTACTGTGAACAATGCACACAAGAGCTGAAGCTGTTGTGAGGCGGGCGTGGGTTTCTCAGAAGTATTAACGTATTTCACGTCAACAACTACATGACCCCAAGAACTGGGATGTTGCCCATGCAAAGCTGGATGGAGAGCAATATCTTTGTCCCTTACTGACACGCACCCCTTTCAGAATTACAAAATTAAGTACATATATGCTGGGGAAGCGGTCAGTGAAGGGAAGGAGGGAGGCACTGGTAGGTTGCTGATACTTTCTGTTCGAGTTAGCAGACTGGCATTTGTGGATTCCCAGCCCCAAGGCAAGGATGAACAATCCTATGAAAAAAAAAAAAAACCCAAAAGTATAACTTTTTTCATTAAAAAAACCTTTGAGACTGCAACTATTTGGTTCCACAAGTAGTAATAAAAGGCCAGTACTGGAATTTGAGTAAACTAACACTTTACACTTAAAAAGGAAAGAAAGCAAAGCTATTACCTTAGAACACATTGAAAGTGTTTTCCTATGGCTCTGTATTCTTCCTCTATGCCTTGGCCATGTCTCAAGCCAGTTTCATATCAGAACAGATCAAACAAAGCCACCCAGGCGTTACAATAGCCCCTGTCTTTGTTCATGGCATCAGTTGTTCCCAAATATCAAATATATCGTTACAAACTGAAGGCTTGATAATTGTGAGAATCAGCTCTCTGACTTGCCTCCAGCAATTTAGCAAGGAAGGAATTTCTTGGCTCAAAAGTTCTGGCTCAGCTTGAGTGGTGTTTTATATGGCCAGAGCGATGTAAAAGACTTCAAGAAATGCTGTTAGCACCGAAATGCAGTTGGTGGAGAATATATGCACACCTTTGCTGTAACAGAGGAGAACACTAGCAAGCCTTGTCTTCAGATCTGTGCGTGTGACTCTTGCTGGCTTAGACTTGTGAAACTACAGTAAATATTCGTACAAAAAAACCCCTCTGACATATAGAACAGTACACTGCCATATCTCTTGTTAGCATCTATGGGACAAGAAGTGGACCAGTTAGACTGAGTAAATACAATGACAATTACGCACAAGCAACTTGGACCTTATTTCCCGCTCTGAGAAGTATCTCCATGGGATATAAGCAGTAAAAAAGAGCCATGTTTTATCAGCCTCACCTGAATATAGAGTGCAAGTTGTGCATAGTCCTGACCTTTATTCAAACAGGTATCTTCTGTTAGATATTCAGTCAATGTGTTTGTGAATAGGGACATCTAATAGAACCATGTTCTTGAAAAAACTCCCCTGAAAATCAAGCTGGATCTGGTCAGGTTTAAGTTAGGGGAGAAGTGTCCCCTCGTGTGTATGCTTCAGAAACTATAGTTGGTGTTCTTAGCTTTATGAAATGGTCGCTTGCACTGCCACGCACACAGGCCCTGTGACACTTTCAGAACTAATGGTCCTGGTAAGTGTTGACAGCAAATAACCTTTATCTTGTGCTGATAGGAGGCACAAATAGATATATTACAGCTATACTTCTAAGGAGGAAATAACAGGTTAGCACAGATCACCGTGATTCTAAAACTCGGATTTTTTAAATTTTTTTTTTTTTTTTAGTGCTTGACTTTGTAAGCTTAATACTGTTCTTCTGTTAGTTTCTATCTTTTGTACAGCATACACAGCTGCACAAAAACCATTTACTTCCAAACTGGGCTGTGAGATTTTTTTCACCTCGTGTATGGGGAAGGAAATGAACATCACTGAGAAGTCTTGCAACAGGAAAATAATGTTATTTGCTTCTCTCTAACTTTTCTACCTTTATTTCTTTCTTTAGGTTTGCAACAATGGTAAAGGAGGATATTGTAAATGATAATGAAGATTCTGAGCCATCAGTACATGAGAGAAATGGCATGATTCCCATGCATGAGAAAAACGAGGTAATTAATTAGGATCTCAAAGTATAGTTTTAGTCAGAGGAACCCTCCTTTTCCTTTCTTTTTTTCTTCCTGCATCTGTTAAAATCCCTACATCTGAAGGGAATACAAAGAGAAATATCCTCAGTAGGAATTTCTTAGAATTAAAAAATGTTCAGTTTTTAAAAGTCTGTGGTACATTGGATTGCTGGAAATCAGTGGTTGCAATTTCAGCTTGAAGTGGAAAAAGCATCAGCGTAAGTTTTACAATCAGCTATGGAAGAGAATTAAATGGACTTATGATTGCTTCTTTGCTTTCAGATTGTGCCTATCCGCCCACTTGCTGAAAGTTGTTCATGCATCTCTTCCTTTTTTTAACAAAAATAAAAACCCCACAGTTTTAAACTTCCATGTGCGTATTTCTAGTGTTGACTTCCATGGCTTTAAAAAGACTTGCAGTAAATGCAGGTGAGAATAAAATTCTTAATATAAAAGGCACTTTAGTATAAACATATAATATTGACTGTAAAGATAGGTACCGTATGGCATATCTTTACACACATAGGTAGCTGGTGATCACAGAATCACAGGGTAAATAACCAAGTAACTCCATGCTGAAAGCTCACAAGATTTGTGTTCCAACTGTGACTCTGAGTAAAGGCTATATATATATCTAGAGAAAGAGAGAGAGAGAGATGAGACAGAAAAATAATGGGAAATGTGGAACTATTACTGGAGGAGGGCCAAACCACAGTATAGGCAAGAATTCCATGTCCATGCTATGATAATGAGCTGACATGAAGGTGAATAATCATAAGGGAAGGTAGATGATTAACTTGTCAAAAATAAGGACCCTAAAATGCAGTGAGACACATATCCAAAAATGGTCAAAAAGTGCTTTGGCTATGAATATGGATAAGTAAATGAATCAGTATAAAAGAACAGCTTCAAGGAACCATTCTTCAAGGAAATAACTCCCAGGGTAGTATTTCTCCATCTCTGCCTTGACTTACCAGCTTGAGCCTTCCAGCAATGGATCATGTGAGTAATGCTTGCACTGGCCAGCTCTTCTGTTTTTTTCATCTTTGTCTAATCACAAGTAGGTTTTGTTATTTTGGTTCAAGGCTTTGCAAGAAGTTATTTAGGAGTTGTATTAAAGACACTGTCTCACTGGAACGATGCCAATTGTTAACTGTATTGTGGAATCCAGTCTGGAAGCAGAACCCTATCAAACTGTAGAAAATATCGATAAATATTTAGCTCGTATACAAGACAAGCTGAACCTGGCCTGTTAATATTGTTTCTTCATCAAAGATGCTGATATTGATGCTGAACAGGTGCTATTCATATTGGGACAGGAGTCCTGTCGGTTGCAGATAAAAAGGCAAATGTCCCGCAGCCTCTCATATGCAGTTCTTCATGCTATGCAAAAACAAACACGTAACCAAAAATCCCAAATACGCTACAAAGCTGGACCGTTCCTACAGCGATTGTGTAGTTAATGTAGTCATCTGTAGACAGTGTGGATCTAGTGCATCACAGCTGATTTCAAGTCTTGTACACCGCTTCAAGAGTGTACAGCACCACTTCTGAGAGAGTCTCATTGTTTTCATTCAGGAGGGACCAACAGTAGATGCCAAAGGTACTGATGGGAATACACAAACAGAAGAAACTGCTCTCTTGAATCATTGTGCTCAGCAACCTCCGGAACCGACAGCAGGGTCTTCAATACCTGCAAGAACATGGAGGCAAATATTTACTTGTCCTCCTCAGGGTTTACTGGCCCGAACAGTGACAAATGGTATGTAAGAAAGACAAGAGTTTAATTAAACTGAGAAATGGCAAACGAAGTACTCATTTCTCTGGATGGGATGATATCTGTCCATTGTCCTTGAAAATATTGAAGGGAAATAGCCATGTTTTACACATCACACTTTTGTTTCAATGTTTTAGCAGAAAAAAAATGAGGTGAAACAAAGATTTGAATGTATAGTCTTTGTTCCTCCACCCTCTCTTCTGTGTTTAACATGGTAGGTATGTTTTTGCATTGCAAATTGTTTTCATCAGAAGAAAGACCTCCTAATTCTTGTCTTGATAGTTCGTTTTGGTGTGAGAGCGTTAAGATTATTATAAACACAGTGGCATTTTTGGCACACTGGATGGCTTTTTGTTGAATTAAGGCAACAAATATGAGGCTTTGCAGTGATACCTTCTTTTGTTTCTTAATACCCCAGGCTTGCAAAGCCAAGAATCCTAACTACAAGGCAAACTGACCCATTCTGTTTAAGATTTGCCCTGCACTGAAGGCTCACAGAAGAGAATGCCTGGCTAAACAGTTATTTCAGACTTTTCCTAACAAAAGACGCTTCCTGTGGCTTTGATTGCTTCCACAGCCTCCGTTCGCTCTCACTTGGGATTCTTAGGCTTTTATGTTTGGAAATCTACTGGTCTGCCCTTTGCCACCCGTCACCCTCAAAAAAGATCAAGAAAAATCCAGTCTGAAATGCAATACATTTTCTTATGATTATGAGAAGGGGGATTTATTCAACACATTTTTTCGTGTCCTTCAGTCTTCTGCTTTTATATCTGCGTATGCCTGTTGTTGTTGGATAACTGTAGGGACAGATTTGGGAACCTGGAAAGTGCACAGTATTTTCACATATTTTGTAATATTTTCACTTAACATTCTCATCAGATTTTTCAGGATTTTTTTTTTTCCTGTGTATTATCCCTCTTTGATTGCTGTATCAAGGGAAGTATCTGTACTACTTTAGGCTGTCCAGAGACACGACCTTCTTCAGATTTTTTTTTTTTTTTTTCCCCCCAGGGATAGCAATGCACATCCAGCCAAAAAATTATGCTTAAATTCTTTTAAAAATTAGACTGGAGCTGCAGTCATTAGCTCAAAGATATGCCAGGCTGTACAGCAGCAGGTTCTTACTGAAGTTCTGAAGTAGCTGAAGGAAGATGAGCAAATGCAAGATAAGGTAGTGAAAGTCTTTAAGTTTGGGGCCTGTTAAGTGCTTTCCACAGTGGCCTGAGGCTCACTCAGTACTTGTTGGTCCCTAATGATGTTCCTGTTATCATTTTTTAAAGTATCTTAGCATCTATAAAATCAGAACATCAGTTTAGGGAGCACCAAAGACTAAGCACATTGTTATGATTAAATTAATTTTCAAGGTAAGTGATTTTATTTCTGAAAGTCATGGTACCTTTTTCCTTAGTAGAAAACCAAACGTGATCTGATAGCAAACAAAGTTGTCCCTGAGAGATGATTAAATATGAATATTTCTTGTTTTGTTCCAGTTGCAATCATGGTCCTGGTTTGGGCTGTGGTTTGGTCCATCACTGGGACTGAGTGTCTCCCAGGTGGAAACCTGTTTGGAATTCTGTTTCTTTATTTTTTTGCTGTCATTGGAGGTAAAATTTTTGGATTCATTAAAATACGAACACTGCCCCCCCTCCCTGCTCTTCTGGGTAAGATATCCTTCCTTCTTTTCTTCCTGCATATTTGTGTTGTTTAAACTGTCAAGTAATGGCTGCATGCTAGATGTGTTTTGATTGGGAACAAACAAACTGTGTGTCACACTCAAAATCTGTAGCTTTTCCAAGTGACTCTTACCTGGTCCTCTCCAAGAAGGTGCAAAATTCCCCAAACTGGCTCAAGTGAAATAGCCTGTAGGCTACTGAGGCTCTCCTCTTAATTCTTTGTGGGCCAGAGAACTGTATACTTACAGATTCAAAGTTTATTGTCCTTCAGTCCCCTCTGTCACGGGTACTTAAAACTTGGTTTTAATATCACTAAACAGGAGTCTTAATCTGGACCTCCTGTTACAGCAGAATAATTAATTCATAAGGAAATTATTGCTGAGCTGTTTCACATGTATCTCGCACAATGAAAATGTTTTCTAAAGAAAACACTACAGGAATTCCCTACTACTGGTAATCGAAAGCAATTTCTTTCTTCTCCTTCCTTTATCTCAAGATAACTGAAACCTGAGAAAATAAATTCACTACAAGGAATAATTCTTCTGAAGAGAGTTATTTTGAATCAATCGTAACACTGTTTTGTGTTATCAACATCTTGTTTTATTTTACATAAAAATGCAAAATAGAAATGAGAGATGAAAATGATGTTAATTTTGACATCATCAGAACCTTTTCAGACTTCTTTCCTAGAGGAGGTTTAGGTTAGATCAGTACAATATTGTGATGTCAATGAAGCTGAAAAATGAAGTTCCAGGTTCGTCTCACCAGCTGTATGCGGCCCCCTTACTATGCTTACTGCATAAATGAGGAAAGCCGTTGACAGACAGTAAAACTGCATGGCAGAGTGGGCTACAAATATCTGCCTGTAGTGCACGGATGTGACTTTGTAACCTGCATAGCTGGTGGTGTGCCTCACACAGCAGCACTGCTTACAGAACAGCTAGATAGCTTCATGTACGGCTCTGCCCAGGCAGCATGCAGGTTCTTGTTCTGCTTAATTTCACAAACGAGAAAAAATGCAAATGAGAGGGAGGGAAGTTTTGCATATAGCATGCATGCCTGCAATAATATGAACACAGAATGTAACACAGAGGGAGTCTGCCCTTTCTAAGTAAACATCCCCCTTTAAAAAAAAAAATTTTATGACCATTCGGATTCTGCTTTTTTTAATTACATCCGTATCTAAAAGTTATGTGCTGAGCATGAAACTGCTTGTCAGACAGGTAATACTGAACAATAGAAACTTAAGCATGACAGCACATGTCTGTAGAGTTGCTTAGGACAGAGTTCATTGTTCAGATCCCCAGTCTTTGAGGAAAATTGGAGAAATCTAGGAGTCAGAAGAAGAGAGAGACAATGTCTTTGAATATTCTTTTTTACACTAAAAATACAAATCTTGTACTCTTACATGTCTCTAATCCACTTGTGCTAGGTGCAGTTGAGTGTAATGTGGCTGGCTGAGCACTTAAGCACCTTATAGTGAGTCTCTGTCTGAGGAAAGGAGTGAAATTGCTACTGAAACAGTCACATAGTATATTTTAGGTACACATTGCAGAGAGGTTTCTGCAGCAGGCAACATGGAGCAGAAGAGCGAAGATGTCCTTTGAGGTGGAGTTTTTTTGTCTTAAGTAGATTTCTAGATCGGGGTAGCTCTAGTGACTTGGACCTCAAGCAAACATTGCAAAGAGCATGTGATCATTATGCTAGCCTGATATAATTGTCATGAGGTGCCACAGATTAATTATGCCACTGTTTTTTTTCCGGGAGGTGGTGGGAAGAACAATGACCGAAAGTTTAGCATGTTCCAGGACAAATCAAGTCCGCAGCCAAGGCTCACACCAAGCTGGGACCAACCTAAGCATAGCGTTTGTTTATTTTTTGTCTTTGTTGGTTTCCTGTTTCTTAACATGGCTAATATAAAATTACGCCACAAGAACGTATCTTTGAATCATCAGGACCTACAATTAATCTCTGCAGGTCTATATTTAAAGTCACCCTTTCCTGTACTTTTCTGTATCCTTCCAGAGCTACAGTTCCGACAGCTTTGCAGGAAGTCAGTTAGACAGTTTTGCTAATATTTGCAAAAGGTTGGGTCTTGCAAGTAGCTCAAACAGAGGATAAGAGCAAGTTCCTGATTCTCCCCCTCTTTTTCCCCTTTGCATAACAGTCGTATTGCCACAGCATTTTAAAATGGCTAAGTTAGTCCATGATTAGCTATTTTAGATTATATTTCCTAATGAACTCGGCATTATGGTTCCTGTGATACCTGCATTTCTTACACCTAAGAGGATTTTTAACCATTACCAACTTCTGAGATAAATACGCAATATTAAACCATCTTCCTCTTTTCATGTTAAAACAAGATAACAAGAAAAATATCTTTAAGGATGCAGAGGTGTCTTTGCTTATTGTAAGTATGACCTGCACCTGGTGAATAAAGCTGAATTCTGTTGACTTGCACTAAAGCTACGTGTCAACATCCTGCAGATTTATTCACTGGTGATCTGGTGTGTTCTGAGGCTGCTTTCATTGCTTTAAACATGTCTCTCTCTCCATGCCTCAGTCCCCATCGTTAAAACATGGCTAATAATTCAGAACATGAATTGTTTCTTTGACTCTCATAAATATATAATATGGTGTCTGTTTTTAAGAATTCTATGCAAGCTTTTAGTGCAATAAAAGCAAGTCACTTGACAGGAGCTTATTTGCTTTCATTTAAGGGATGCTACTTGCTGGTTTCCTAATCCGAAATACCCCGTTCATTAGTGACATCGTCCAGATAAACCTACGCTGGTCTGCAGCGCTGAGGAATATTGCTCTTTCAATTATCTTGACCCGAGCAGGACTCGGCCTGGATCCAAAGGTATGGCACCAGCCATTTGTGTGAGGCAAAGTATAAAACAGCCCTCAAAAAAAATTGAATAATTGGTTCTGCTAAAAATATTGAACCGTTCAGTCTTAGGGGATCTGCAAACTAGAGCATTACAGAAAGTTTAGTTTCTATTGTATAGTCATATGTTAATATTGGCAGTTGGATTTGTAGAGTAGGCAAGCAATCCAAAAAAAACCTAAAGAAAACTGATTTTATGACTATTTTCCCACTTGCCTTAAAGAAATTTCCTGAATGTTGTGAGCAGACCACCTTGAGGACATGTGCTCCATCGTGGTCTGTCAGGAAGAGTTTACGCTCCCTGACAAACTCCCTGTCAGTTTACACCGACAAACTAAAACAAGTAATGGAAGGGATCCCCAGTCCTTGAAAGAGAATGTTGCTTGTGTTGACACCGATCGAAAAAACCAACCAACCAAAAAATCCAAACCTGTGTGTCTTTTTTACTATTTCTTTTCTTTTTTTTTTTTGAATCACTGCCATTTTAATGCAAATATATTAATTGCAAAGATGAGTCCTGCTGCACTACAGAAACCATGCTTCACATCACAATAAAGCCCATAATGCTCCTGTGAACCAAAAAAATAGTCTCCACGCAGGATGAAACGTGATGTTCCATAAATTAATGAAGGCAAGGTTTTGCTTGATCAAAATCAGCTGGCTGAAATAAAGCTGTACCATATTGGCCCCTATCTGTTTAAGTTTAAGGGGCTGCTTAAAGTTTATATAAAACTGTGGTCAAGTATAGCTAGTTCAGAACAACTAAATGGATTTTTCTTAACCAAGATGAAAACTAGGGAGTTGCCAATGCTTCAGATATTTAGGAAAATAGGGTTTGGTCATTCTTGAAAAATGCCTGGTTTCCTAGATTACTATCATCCATTTTTCCAAGACAATGAAGCTTGTATGAACATGGACTGCGTGTTGTTACACACAGCTTGGATGTCCAGTTCTGTGAGATTGCTTTTCTTTCTATTCCGTGACAACTTTTTTTGCCAAAGGAACTTCATTTTTGACTAATTTTTCTCCCATGAGGCAGTCGAAACTGTCATTTGGACTCTGTATGTAGCAATGCTTTCATGCAGTTACAATCGTTCTTCATGTAATTGAAGCTGTGAAGACAAAGATGTCAGTTGCTCTGGTGATTCTCAGCCTTAATTATGCCGGGATAAACTGCGCCGGTAAAAAGTGCAACTCGTTGATTTTTTTTTTTTTTTTTTTTACATGTCAAAATTAGGGACCGGTCCTAGCAGAGTCATGTTTGTGACTAAATATTAAAGGCAGCTGTTACAAGTAAATATTCTGTTTTAGAGAAATTTTTGAATAGAAGTCGCTGAGCCAAATGGAACTTAATCTGCTCTGGATACCAAGTGAGAGACAGCTAAAGGAGATGCTTGGCTCCTTGCGCCAAGTTTATGTAGTTCTACAACTTTCCATTATTTGTTCACGGATTTTGGGATGACTTTTTGGGGGTGCTCATGCAGCTTGTGGGATTATAGCAAAATCTTTTGTGGATGGAGCAAATGACCTGAAGTAACTGTGGGTAAGTCAGCTGTTTTGAGGGTGTACTTTTCAAACGGATCCCAGCTAGTCCAGCCTCTCACAATTAGTTTGCTCTGCACAAGCAGCCAAACAGAATTCTCTGCCACTCCTTCCTGTGACATGCAGGAACCTTGTCAAACCTAGATTCAGTGGGTTTCACTGCCACACTTGGAATTTTATACCCAAATCCAGTTGTACTTGAGTCTATCTCTGGCTTAGGCCATGTAAAGCTGTCATATCCTGTACTGCAGCTCAGAGGGAATTCTTTTAATAAACCATTTCAGATCGTAAATGTGTTTCCTCTCTATAAAGCCGAGGGTACTGATACTAATGTCTGAATGTGCTTTCATATTGCAGGCTCTTAAGAAACTCAAAGCAGTCTGTTTACGGCTTTCTTTTGGACCATGCATCTCAGAAACATGCACAGCTGCTGTTCTTGCCTACTTGTTAATGCATTTGCCATGGCAATGGGGATTTATATTAGGGTAATGTGCTCTCTTTTCTCCTGTATGACAAAGGTGCCTGTTTTCATGCTACAGTTAAATGATCCAAGCACAGTCAGTTCTCTGTGCCAAGCAGAGACCTCAGTTTAATGCCAGTTAGGAAGCTGTGCTAAGCCCCTGTGGTTGTTTGCTTACCATTTATGTCTGGCTCTGTGGCTAATTTAAAGGTTACATTTTCAGGCTGTGGAGGAGTGCTTGCACCATTGCTCTGCTGTGTTTGTGATCTGGGCACTTGAAGAAGAAACAAGGATGGTGCAATCCCTGAGTCTTTAACCACAACACAGGGGGCATTTAGTGACAGAAAACGATACCACATTTTGGAGCATCTTCATGCTGGAATTCAGAATTTCCCTGTAGGGAGATGCACGTATGACAGTCTTTCTGTCACAAGTCAAGAATAAGGATATGGCCTGTTATATTCTGGAATAATATCCTTGAAGAGGAAACATTTTCCATCTAGTTCTATCTAAACTGGGGGACTTGGTCCGGACCCATATACTGGAGCAAGATGGATAAACTTCTCCTCTGCCATACACTGATTTTTATGAGAAGGAGCTGGCCTACTGAGTCATAAGCATGTCTAGACCAGGTTCCTAAATTGGACAATCAAGGCATATATCAGGGAGCATAACTGGCCTGCAGCGTAGACTCAAGTCTCAGTCTGTGGAGCCCTTTACTTTTAATACTATTGAGTTGGGCAGGAAGTAAAAGCTGATTGCAAATCTGCATAGAAATATCCCTGCTTGTACTTAGCAGGGAAAGGTAAGGAAAATACCTTATGTAAAGGTCTGTTTATTTATACTTTAAAAGAATTGGGGTCAGAACATTTTCGAGTTTTTTAGTTCAGTGCTTTCTTTTTGAGAGAGGCTGAATCTGTGTTTTCAGTTTTGTTCTAGGTGCAGTCTCCCCTGCTGTGGTGGTTCCCTCAATGCTGATTTTACAAGCTGGCGGATATGGGGTGGAGAAAGGTGTCCCAACTTTGCTAATGGCAGCTGGCAGCGTTGATGACATTCTGGCTATTACAGGCTTCAACACTTGCCTTGGGATGGCTTTCTCTTCCGGTATGCTGGTTAATCTGTATGTGGTGAAATCCAGAACAAACAGTGATATTTTGAGGAATGTGTGCTCTGTTATGACTGACTGGTTTGTGACTTAATGACATCTCCTTATAAAGTTCATGTATGGACTTGAATATTGAGAGGGAAATTGCCAATGATCAAAAGTCTTGGTGTAGCATTGTTGGCTCTGAGTTGTGGGTCACATCAGCTTTCAGAGAACACTTTTCCCTGTCTGCTCCCTCAGCTGCCAAGTCTGGTCCCTGCATGCCCAACGTAAGTTCTTTCAAATTTCCATGGGTTTGGCAATGTCCTCGCAGTGGCTCTTTCTCTGGCTTCTCTGGCATACTTTCTCGGCATGAGCTTGCACTATCCATTTGTTTCAGGGTCATAGGTTCCCTCCTGGACCCCTTTACCCCCAAGTCATTTAAAGAAGACACTGTTCTGGAATCGCACTTATAGGTCTCCAGTGTGGCTTGTGGTGCGTGAAGGGTCTGTGTATGGCCTACTGAACCTGTTTCTCTTTTGCCAAATAGGTTCTACTCTGTACAACGTGCTCCGTGGAGTGCTGGAGGTGGTTGTTGGCATAGCAGCTGGGGGGATTCTGGGAATGTTTGTTCGATATTTCCCAAGCCACGATCAGGTAAAAATCCAGTAAAAAAAACTTTCTATAAAACAGAGATTCTTTGCTAAGGGATGATATTCCTAAGTTATTCATTTCCAAGTTTCATGTGAAGCTGCTTTTGGGGAAAGCTGTGTACAGCGCTAGCAGTTTCCAGGTTGCAAAGCCTATCAAATGAGGATGTGTTTTATAGGTGATTACTTGTTCACTGCAACAATAACAATGTATGATCTCCTAGTCCTTCCTGATGCAGAGTTTGGAACCCAGCTCACCATCCTGGTCTCATTGAAGATGGTGGAAACGTCCACACATAAAGGAGAAAGGGTCTGATACCTATTTCAGGCAGTAAAATAATCATCAATTAGATTGATGTGCGACACATTTAATTCTATAAGATGTTTCCAGTAGGCCTAAGATTAAAAACAAGTAAAGCGGGCAGATCGTGGGCTTTAAGTGATTGGGCATATCATTAATGCTAATTAGAATGTGTTACTTTCAATAAAAATTGAAGTTATATAAAGTGGTAGATGAATTTACTATCAAAGGGCAATTAAGTGAACAGAAAATTGTGGAAGAAAGTAGATATGTTCTGGACTACTGAAGTCAATTTGCAAAGCAACTATTGCCCTCAGTGGGATGAAATCTTCCTCTTATTAAATAACATAAGGAGCGTGGTACAGGAGCCAAAGAGATAACCATACAAATAGCAATGGGGACCAATGGCAGAGATATGTCTGTCTGCTGTGAGATCAAATAAACTAGACTGTCCCCATCAAACATTTGTATGACTTGTCCTTAAAAACATCTAGTGGCAATGATTTCACCTCTCTTTGGATGAACTGTTCCAGTACTTGACTGTACAGGTAGAAAATCCTGTTATCACAAAGTTGAAGCAGGGCTGTTAGAATAGAGCATCAAGTTCCTTGTGATACAAAAACCCTTTTGACAATAAGATTTTGGATGGGCAGAGGAAAGAAAATATTAAATTTCCAAAATTTTAATTTCTTAGGAATTAATGTCCAAAAAAACCCCTCAACTCAACTGAATAGTTCAAGTCTCACTTGAAAGCTCTGATTCTTTTGCAATGGTTAATGGTAATTGTTATTTTCAAATCGCTATTTTCAAAATTAACAGAAGTAACCTTTTTCCTCCATTTGTAAAATAAATTTACTTTTTTGTTTGTCTCTTTCCTTGGCTGCAGGCATCTCTGGCATGGAAGAGGTCATATTTTGTACTTGGGCTGTCCATGTTCGCTGTTTTTGGTAGCATCTACTTTGGCTTCCCTGGATCAGGAGGGCTCTGCACATTAGTCTTGGCTTTTGTTGCAGGTGTGGGATGGTCTGATGAAAAGGTGAATGTTTACATAAAGAAGCATACCATACCAAAACTCCTTTGAATGTACGACTTGACGGGAGTTTGAATTTCTGTCAGGAGTGGTAATGGTGCATTTATGAAGCTTTAGGGGGTGTATGGATTAAAAAAAAAAACATTCTACATTTATTTTGGAAGTCTTTAACATTTAGCATGACAGAAGGTGACCATGTATGTGAATATATATCGATACAGAGCCTAACATACTGACAGAGAAATACTCAGCTTTTCTTAGACATCTTAAGCCATGTAAAGGAGACTTAGTTGTCAAGGCACTTGACTAGGAATCCAAACCTTTATGTCCCAGCTCTGTCAGTGTCTGTAACCTTACACAGTCACTTTATGGTAAGATTTATAAACAGGTGTCCAAAATACAGTTCTGTACGTGGCCTGAATACCCTGACGTTTTGTTCCCTGTTCGGTTTTGTTCCTCTCTCATTTTTCCCTAATCCCAGCCAGTGTATTCTGGATAAATTAGAGAGCAGGGTGCCCACAATAAATGGTGATATAAGGCCATACAAAAACCATAAAAAAGACTGCTTTTTAGTCACTTTCTCTTACCTACTAAGCCTGCTTCTCCTTACTGTTGCTGCCCCACTGCATTTCTGTACCTTGGCATGTCTCACTGCCTCTTTTGCTTGATACCATTTACACTTAATGTGTTGAGGGCATCTTTCTCTCCACAGCTGTAGCCTTGCGACATGCAGTAGGAGAAGGGGAGAAGAAGAGAAAGGAAAGGTGGTCAGGTATAGCAGAGTCCACATTATTACCCCATCTAGACCTTGACTTCAGTAAGATCTCAAGGTTTGTTAAAATAACAAAAAAGAAACCTTGGTTTCTATTTAAAGTATTACATTGTTGTCCAATTTTAAAAGAAAAACTCGTCTTGGGACTTAACTACTTAAGGACATTAAAATTGATAAAGCTCTCTGTTGAAAAGCTGCTAAACCATTTCAGAAGGACGGACCTTAAAAGAGTATATGCAGACTATAAATGCTTAGTTTAAATTCTTTTGATCAGTCAATGAAGCTTCGTGGCCTTAAGGATGTTGATTTCAAATGCCTTAGCTCTCTTTTATCGGATACAGTCAGAGACGTCTGCATGCTGTATACATATTGATGTATATCAATATACATATATACATATACATATTGATGTTACCAACTGAAATAATGCTAGCAGCTGTAAAGAGGATTTTTTTTTTTTTTGCCAAAAAAAGAAAAGAGTGAGATAACAGGGAGAAATGAGGCAAATAAAGAAAAACGGTCAGAGGTCTCTATATTTTCATCTCGTTCTCTTTAAGATTACAGAAGTTTTCGTACTGCAGCCATCTACCGTTCCATTGACTGAAGAGCAAGAGATGTTGCAGGATCAGTCCCAGAGAGACCGCCAAGGACAAGACATGTCTAGGCCCTGGATTGATTATTAAGTGACAGAGCACTGCACTTGTATTCTCCACGCACACCAGCCTGAACATTCATTTGCTATTGTAGGACTCACTTGCTGAAAAAGACATGCTGTTAGATATGCTACGTGTACCTCTTCACATAAGTGGAATATTCCTGTTTATCCTGGCAGCAGTTGTTTTAGGAAAATTGTTAGGTGTAAACACAAGGAGGAAAGATGGCTTTGCCCTCATATAGTACATCGCACTGGGAAGTTCAACACATTTTGCTAGTATGGGATTTCAGACTTGCTCAGTCTAACTTTGTTCCTGCTCACATGGAGACAGGCCTCTGAGTGCAGCACGAGTGGCATTAGGTCAGGACTACAACTTTTGAGAGTCTGGCTCTGCTCAGATACAAATGGAAGAACACGTTTAAGCATGCAGTTCCCAAAGGCTCAGAAACTTCATAGCAAAACTGTTCAAATTACGTCTTCCTAAATACTGAAAATCAACTATGCTTTATTTTCCTCCTCTTGTCTGCAAACTGCTCTGTTACTGTTGAAACATTTTTATTTCTCTTCTTGAGATAGCAAGCATTTATTTACTGGCAGAGCTAGACACACTCTGACCTTCGAAAGGTGCGTAACTGATTTTGAATCTTTTAGTATTAGGTCAAAGAAGGAGGAGCAAGTCTGGACAATCTTTATGATACATTTTCAGTTTGTCCTTTGATTAATTAAATGTTGTGTCTACTTGGCCATATTTTTGTGAATTTACAGATTATTTTTGTTTTGATTACAGAGGGAAGTAGAAAAAATTGTCGCAGTTGCGTGGAATATCTTTCAGCCTTTTCTTTTTGGTTTAATTGGAGCAGAAGTATCTGTTACATCTCTTAGGCCTGAAACTGTTGGTAAGATCATTCACTAATTATCCAGCTTTCATTACTAGCTTCCAAAGAATCTCTATAGAGAAATCTAAAGCAAAGCAGACTATGGCTGACCCAAAAAAAACCCACAAAAAAAACCAAAAAACCAACCCCACTGTAAAGCTACAGTTTTAGGAGGCTTATTCCCCTCAGGCACCTATGTACAAAAGTACTGAGAAGTGTTTGTCTTTGTTGCAGGGCTCTGTGTTGCTACATTAAGCATTGCTCTAGCTGTGCGAATCATAGCAACATTCCTGATGGTGTGTTTTGCTGGGTTTAATTTCAAGGAAAAAGTGTTTGTCTCATTGGCATGGATTCCCAAAGCCACTGTCCAGGTAAACAGTCCTACATCACTTTCATTCCAGGCTATATCTATTGTCCTTAGCAAAGCTCCTTGTAACTAGCATAGCAGTAAACACGGAGAGGATCAGGCTCAATAACAGCAGAGTGTAGTACGTGGACAGTTCATGTTCCTAACTGCGCTAGGTCTGCTTGAAAAGTGCATGGAGAGCTTACCATGTGAAGGTGTATTGCTTGTGTCCAGGTTGTACTCTTAATAATGACAGAGATTGTACATATATTATAGGAAGTTTAATTGTTTCTCAGCTATTGCAGGTTATTGTGCCTTTACATACAGATTCTGAGAACTCTCAAAACAAAGGTAAAAGTGTTTCCCTCTTACGCCACATGAAGTGTCCGCCGGGACAGTCACACCAGAGGCTCAGAATGGGTTTTCAGTCTGTGGTCATTTTAGTAAGGGGTAGTCTGACAGCCATATTGCTAGAGAAGCCTCAGGCTGGCTGCATTCCTGGTCCTTTATTTCAGTGAT